TTAATGTAACTAAGGACCTAATTGTAGTTTAAAAAAAAAATAAATGGCTTCAGTAGGAATTGCTAGATTCTTTGCTGAGCTGCAAAATCCCAGGGCTGCAAGGTGTTTCATATTGATGAAACAATGGAAAGAGCAGCTACTCAGAATTCACTGGGGAAAGGAAGTGGCCATGATATTGAGAGGAATTGTGGGGATGATTTCATCATTTGGGTTTGTCATCTGTATTCCACATTTGGCGATTGATGTGACTGAAGGCATGTGTGAGCATAATAAGCAATTTGAGGAAGTGGAATAGAAGCAAACAGTAGTTAACTTCTTCAAAGCAGTTATTAGCCTTTCTGAGGAAGTAAGATCTGTTCCTGAAATGGGGATCCATGTCCTGTCAGTATGACCCTACATGACAGCCTACAAGAGCGCGTGTACTGCTCTGATAGTGTCACAGGGTGTGTTAAGAGATGGAAGGCATATATGAGAAGACGGCAACATTTGTAGTACACTTGGTCTGAAATGTACCCTCTGTTCATATGCTGTAGATGTTAGTGTACTCATAGGTGAAGATTATTTTCTTTGACCACAGGCTTGGAGGAACACTTTTTGGAACTTCTGAATTTCCTGGATATTAATCCAATACACTTTATACATAGTGATCAGTCTTTGTTCTCCAGTTGTGAATGAGTTGAGGCTACAAGTTGAAATAAACATCAAATAAGACTGTAACTGCTTATTTGACAAGGCTGCCTGGGAATTCAGCTCATCTCCTTACTCTGTCTCTCTTGGTGCTGTGGATCTGTTAAGCTGGGTAGACCGGGACGAACTGAAAAGGAGCAGCTCTTTCACATTCCCCATCCCACACTATGGGAATGGGCATAAATCTCCAGCTTTGGGGAGGATTTGATGAAAGGAAAACAACCAAATGATTTTCAAAAAGGGGAGGGAGAAGCTGGAAAGAAGTGTAAGCAAGAGCTTCAGAGGGTGTGGGTATGCAAAGTTGTGGATTTCCTATTCTTTGAGACCAAAGAGAAGATGTTTAAGCAAAAACTTACCAACTTTAGATGTCCTGTATACATTAAAAAAAAAAAAAATACGTGGGAAAAAGGTGTAGCAGCTGTTTGGTCAAGTTAATTGTGACCTTGCATGTATTTTCATGATTATTTGAGCCAAACTAATGTCTGGCCTTCTGTCCATCTGCACTCTCCATTCAAAGAAATTTGTTTGGATAAAAGTAAGTATTCTGAGGTTTGTCTTAATCTCTCTTGGAAATAGTTGCTGATTTTTTTTCCAAGCAACTCTTCTGCCTGAATATGCTACCCATTTATTTTTTTTTTTTGAAGGATGATATATACTCTTAAATGAAAAGGTGTGTGTAATACAAATTACTCAAATCCAATGTATTATATAAGAAGAAGGCTGACAAATGGTGAACAAAACACTGGTAGAAAGATTAAAATGAAGCCAAGAGGGTAAATGACCTTGTCTTGAAATCCTTTTGAATCCCAGCATTCTTAAGATGGATATTCTACAGATCACTAGGACCTAACAATATTGCTTCACTTTACTCCCCTACCCATTTAAGTACTGTCATGGAAAACTGAGGGAGTGCAGCCAGAGGCTTACTGCACACGAGAAATAATCACCGAACGGTGATATTTTGATAGCTTCATCAGTGGCGTTTAGTAATGCTTTTTGGTTTTTACCAGTTGGGCCATATAAGTCAGGTAACTCTAATCTTACTCTCCCTCAAACAATATCTGGGTGAGTAAGTTACAATACTTCAGAAATGCTTCCTGTTAGGACTCCATCACTGATGACTTCACTCTTCCCATCCCCTCCTTGTTTCCCTTCCAGCTGCCTCATGTTCTCCTATGCTAAACTCTGCAGGATGCAGACTATGCTGCATGTGTCAGTACAGGGCTGTGCATAATGGTGTTTCATTCTCCGTTAGCTTTTAAACATTACTGTAAGTAACAAACTTAGTTCCTGAATGTATCCGAAACTCAGGATAACAGAAATGGAATTAAAAACTTAAAATGAACTGTTGAGTCTGCATAACCTGAGGTGACTTTGTTTGAAGTTCCTGTTTTGCATGTGAAGATTCAGGCAAGTGGCAGTGAAAGTAAAAAAAGTTTTGTGTTTCTTTAGCCCTTTGTTAAGAGCTCCTGCTAAAAACTCTGTAAGCTCACTGGTAGAAGGAAGTAATGATGTAGTGGCAGGTATGCTTTGGGTATTTGTAGGGAATTGCTTTATTAAGAGGTTCTCACAAAGGCCAATCACTACTCCCTTTTATGCAAAGTCTTGTGGTTGCAGGTGCTTGAACCATCAACACTTCAATGCCAAATTAAGTGTTTTGTGTTTGGCTCTAAGTAATACTGAACCACAGGGCAGTGCAATCGTTCTGCTGCTGGTGTGGCTCAGTGATTCAGTGCTGGCTGTAGGGAATGCCAAATCATGGGTTGTCTTATTCAGAGGGAGCAATGGGCACTAATGTGTTGGATAACAGCGAACTTTACTTCATGTTCTTCACCTGGAAGTCACAACGAACTACGTGATCCCACTTCACGTAGTGGTCTGACCACCAAGTAAAGCTTGCTAAGTGTGTGTAGGGTATGTGAAGTGATGAAGATGCTTGTTCTCTGTCTTCCAAATGTACCACTATACCGCTATTTTTCAGGACATAGGAGCTCTTAATCTAATTTCAGTTGTTAGCTGTACACAAACCTATGCATACTGGTATAGTACGTGAAGAACAGGAAGGAGAACTTAAAATTAAAACTACCCTGACCTGAGTATTTGTGCAATCGTTTGAAGCTGTTCCTACACCCCTTTGTAGTTGGGATCCAGGATGCTATATTAATTTTGAAGTAATTATGTGTTTATCCAGTAGAGAGCACTAATGATACTACTATCTTTTAAATGACATTGCTGTAAAAGTATGCTGTGTTCTGAGCTTTGGAGCACTTGCTGGGATTTAGACTAAAGCTTTTTCAAATGTAGTGCATGGCTGAAACTCTGCTGAATAGTTACAATGGAAGGCATGTAAAAACGGTCTGCTGGAACTCCTATACTATTAGGAACTATTACTGTTAACTACATGCTATACTATTACAGCTCAAAAATGTAGCAGTACTCAAGTGTCACCTCTGCATGAAGTTGCTAAGTGAAGGTTAACTTTGAAGTCAGTCAGCATCCTTCTTTGGCTCATGACAGACTGAGTCAGGATAAACAGCTGCTGGTTGATGCAGCAGGTGTCTTAAAGGTCTTGGGGAAGTCAATGGTATGAACAAGGTGGTTATTGCCTCTTTGCAGGTGAGACCTTCTACACTGATGTGGCAAAAAAGGCATTAGTAACTAATGTTTTGGTGGCTCACTTCCTTCAGAGGCAGGACAGCTGAGCTGTGCATGAGATGGCTTACTGAAGTTAAAATGTTGGTCTTGATGCTTGATGTAGCGTGAGACAGAGCCCAAGTTATCTTTGAGATGTCAAAGGGGGTTTGTGGCCAGAAATTTAAAAACAACCCCTTTACTTAGTTTGTGAGAAAGCTAGATGGAGTCAATGAGAGAATGTAAAGCACAGACCCATAATAATGGCTTCAAAATAACTTCGGAAGAGTATCTTAAATTCGTGTCTTGAGTAAGACCTCTTGCCATGCAGTCCAACTGAATGGGTTATAATAGCTCAGAGCTTGTGTTACCTTAGTTTCAGAGCATGAAGATGCTGCCCAGAGGAGAAGGTGTTAGAATTCTTCTTTAGGGTAATAAAAGAATTTTAATTATGTGACCAGTATAAATTAATCTTCCTAAATGCACAGACAGTGTGAAACAATCATGCTGAGAGAAGTATGAGTTACAGGAATTCATTCAGTCTTGAATGTATTTAAGAATAACTGTCTGGAGGCAATATCTTTATTATGTTATTTTTAAGGACTTAAAGAAAAAACCAACAGCCACGCTATGGAGCTGCGCATGGACTCTTAATGTTACCTCTGGGCTTGTTGTATTCACTGATGTGTGGTTTGAACTCTGAGACTGCAGCATTATCTCAGAAACAACTTCTAATTTTAATGTTTGCCGCTTCTAATAGAGGAGATTCTGTTCAACACGTGGGGGGAAGAGGATCTGAGTGTGACTAAGATACCATCTTCTGTAAATCAGGGCTAACATGCACATTTCATTGCTCAAGTGGGAAAAATTTGTGTTACAAGAGAGATTTAAAATTCTTAATTGTAAGCCATTTCTAGCTACAGCTGGTATACTGCTCTTGGGAACTGGGCAGCTAGCGTGCACCATTCCAGTACAACTCCAACAAAACATGGGCTGATTGTTACACATCGAGAAAAATGGCATGTTTCTGTGTTAAAGTCGACTTGGTATGCAAAATCTGCTCAGGTAAATCTGTTGAGAAGAATTTTAGACTTTGCTAAATCAACTGTACTTTTAAGAAGGTGGTCATAGCTGTTGCTGATATGGATTTGCTTTGTGTATTGCCTTTTGATGATGTGAATGCGATTTAACACAGCTATCCCACCAGCTAATGCTGTTGTTCTGCTTGTATTTGTCCGTTGGTCCTCAAATCGACCATCTGGTAACAATCTGCATTAAAAGACTGGCCTGCCTGAAATTAATGGGAGTCCTGCCATGGACTTCAGTAAGTCCAGGATTTCACCCTGGTCTTCATCTTGCATGACTATTGCTATTTAGGGTGTGGCAAATATGCTATATTCTGAACTTTGATTTATGTGAGCATTTGCTGAGCAGATGTTAGGGAGCTCAACTTGCTCGTTTCAATCCATCTCTCCTATAGCAAGTGGAAAAAGGAGGCCAAATCAGTCTCAGGTGTGGTTCTATTCACGTGGGATGCTTACATCGATTACGCTCTGTGATGAGTCAGAAACATCAGGCTGTATTTAAGAAACCACAGCTATAAACTAAACAAGTATTTATTACTTCTGCTGGGAGCTAGTTGCCCATGCTAACACTCGTGCCATGTGAGTGGCTTGGGGAAGGGCTGGGCAGAGGCAGGGTTAGCAGAGCGGGGGCTCCCTTTGTGTGCTCTGCTTGCAGGTCAGCTGCTGACATGGTGGGCTTCCTTCTCCAAGTCCTGGTCTCTCTCTGAAGTGGGGTTACCACCTTTGCACCTGTGGCAGGGACAAGGCCTTCAGATGTACGAAGCACTTGAGTTTGCATTTTGCAGGAGAAGTGTTGGTCTGCAGATACAAAACATTAGCCCTTATTCATTAGCTTAAAAGCACAGTAAGGAAAAACCCCTTTGCCCATCTCTCTACTTCTCTCAGCTGCAAATTACGCTGTGCTTTTTAGGTTCAGTAGCCATGGGAGGAGGGGTTGGAAGGCCAGTTTACCGTGGAGATGAAATAAGAAAACTGGCCCATCTTTGCCAGAACCCACTGCAGCTCCCACAGTGGGAGTAACTCCTACAGTTATGTCTGGTGCTTGCCAACTCCCACTGAGCCTGGTATTTTCCCACTGCATTGTTTTTACTGATAGCTTATGCTGAGTAATAACAAGAATCTCTCAAAGGGTGGAAGAGATTAGTGCTCTTTATAATTGATTAAAGAAGTGTTAGCGTGCAGCCACTGAAGACTGTGTAGCCTGTATGGTAAAGGCACATCATGGTTTTATCTTTCCTTTCCTAAAAATGATGAGTACTCGATATCAGTGTTCAGATAAAGGACCTTTCCTGTTTTCGATATCTTTTGGGGAGGAGTGGTAAATGAGGGTGGAAGGCTGCCAGAGATAAATACCCAGTTCATAGATGGAGTCACAAGACTAAGCTGTACAGAGTTTTATGTCTCAAAACACAGAATAATTAGCCATAATAGTAAAAGGAACAAAGCTGTTAGGGATGAATAATAATATCCTTTTCTCAAGGAAGCCTAGTACGTGGCAAAGATTGTTTAAATACTATTGCTGCTTAGCTGGGAATTGATGTAGCAGCAAAGAACAGAAACCAAGCTAGATTGCTTGCTGGAGAAGTGTGTGTGAGAGAGCTTGCCTGCTCTCTTTACGTCTCCCACTGAAGAGATGCTGTCAGCGCACGGCATTCAGCCCCAGTAGACCCCCCTGCACACTGTGAGTGCAAAAGAGCTGCAATAATAAATGTTTCCATCTGCTTCTGGTTAGGAGTTTGTCTCATCCTATCCTCCACAGTGATCCATGCACTTGAGACAGCCAGGCATGATTATTTCCACTAGCAAGGACCAAGATCACACCCTGCACAGCCCCATCTGGTCCAAACCTGCTGCGGATCGCCTGCTGAGCAGCACAGGTCACTGTAAGATGATCGCACTCACATCCCATATGCTGACCGGGTCCCTGTTGCGTACGTTGGCTGTCTTTCGAGCCGCAGCGCTCTGAGGATGCTCGTCCTTCTGCGAGTGTGGTTTTCTGTAGCAGTTGTTTCACTCTGGCTGCTGAACTGTGTAGCAAATGTGAGATTTGCATATAGGAGCCAAAGCACGTGCGGAGATTGGACCTTGGCTTCAGAACTGTGTGTCAAAAGAAGAATGAATGACCAAGAACTTTCAGTGTGAAACCTTAAATTCATCTACTGAACTTCCCTCAGTTGCCCTGTTTGTGTTTCCCTCCCCTCCAGCCTGATCACCTAAGTCAGGTAATTTACGCCTACCTACTGGAAGGAAGGCGAGGTGATTGATGGTGTTGTTTTTAGCTCTTGCAAGGTGCTCGGAGGCTGTGGTGGTGATTGCCAAGAGAGCCGAAGCCTACAAACACCTGCAAAACTTGATCATGCCTCAACTGTTTGTGAATTCTCTGGGAAGATTAAACACATGGGAATAAAGCTTCTTGCTACATCATCTCATTCCTCAGTCTATTTCATATTTGATTAATGCAGAGATAGGAAGTTGGTGAATGCTTCGTTTAATAAGCAGTTTCAAATTTGGGGCTAAAATATGCACTTCACATAGTTGTTTGATTGGGACTGGGGGAGTGCCTCGTGAGCTCCTTTTGCTCTTTTTGTAAACTTGGCAGGACAGGGACACACGCTGCAATATCCAACCAATACAGTGTTACATATAGATTTAAGTATATCATTCATTTTTGGTGTGTAAAATCATAATTTTGGCAAAATCAGTAACAAATAGTTCTTAGCTTTGTAGTAACTGTTTTTAAGTACAAACTTCACTGATTTTCTTTTTTTTTTTTTAAGCAGGTAAAGCATGCTTAAAAGCAAGTAGCATGCTGGTACTTGCATTAAGTTTTCTAAATGCCATTGTGTATGTTTTGGTATGTTCCTCAGTCCCTTTACTGTGGACTCCTAGAGATCATTCGGAAGGTATTTTTACTTGGTCTTTATCTGTACCCTGTCTCTATCTCATCATGTATTCTCAGAAACAAACCACAAGGAGTAGGGTTTGCATGCTGGTGAGAACCCGCTCTTGTTTCAGAAGAGATGAGACTATCGTGGAAGAAAAAAAGATTATGTGTTTTTAAAGATAATTCATATTTCAAGTGGAAGTCTTTAAAATGTGTAATCAGTACCAAATGTAATAAAACATACAACCCTTCCTGCAGCTGAGTGCTGAGCAGCACAGTGGAGAGCTGTGTATAGGAACTGCTTAAACTAACCCCAGTTAAACATCTAATTTGATGCTGCTAATGATTCCTAAGCCCACAAATATGTCCTAGAGCCTTAAGATGAAGTTTCATAAATGGATGTGCCAAATAAGCAACTCATAGCTATCGGAAGAGGATGATCTTTTGCCTTTCTTACCTTGAGTGAGCCTTTAGTGCTCATGATTGCATTTGAAGTCAATTTAAAGCACTCAAATGCCTTTATATTCTGCTGAATGTTCCCACAGATATTCTGGCTTTCTTTCAAAACAGTGTGGGGTGAGGTGTTGGCTTTTTAGCTGTTTTTTTTTTTTTTTTTTTTTTTTTATAACTTGCTGGGATTGTAAATTGCGTCAACCTACTCTGCAACGGGACAAGTGCTGGTGTCAGCACAGGGGAGGGGATGATCTGCACAGCTGGGGAGTGAAAAAAACGGGTTGAGAAAAAGGTATTGTGGAAGGGAAATGGGATGCCTTCTGTTCCTTGCAGGCTTGGCATATTAATGTGGCTCATATTTTTACCGTGACGTCCTGCGTATTATAGACATTACCTCCAGAAAACTAAAAGTGTGTGGAAGAGCGGGAAAGTGTCCTGCCTGTTAAATGAAGGATACAAAATCCTGTTACCTCATTCAAAAAGGGGATGTACGTGTCTTCATCTCAGACAAATGTGTGAAGATGCTAAAACTTGCGTTTGCAGACAGAAGGTACTACGGTAATACGAAGAATGGAGCTGCACTGATCTCGATTTATTAATGTCACTGGTGGAATTTGAGCTGATTTATTAAGATGAGACTTCACCATGCTCAGTACTTCTACAGAAATAGGCCATAAATCAATCAGTCATCTATTACATCTCATTGCAAGTTATGTTGTCTTCTCAAATCCCCTATGGGCATAAATATTGTTTTGATCTGTGTTCTTCCTTTAATAAGAAAAGTCAGGTCTGCCATTTCATTTCCTTCTTAGGACTTCTGACATAAGCTTAGGTATCATGACAGTTCATGCCCTTTTTGTGGGGGAAAAAGTACTGGAACACCCTAAGTTGTGTCCTAAGCCTTCCAGTATTCTTCCAGGAGCTGGAAAAAAAATCAAAAAGAGGTTTGTTTTTTTTGTGGTTGTCAGGAGAAGAATGCAAAATGGATGTCTGTTTGGCTAGCACGATGTGAGGAGAAACGTGACTAAGGGTGACTTCAGATTTTCTCGATTTTGTTTCTGGCCTAAGAACAGGAAGCACCATTTCTTTGCGCCTTGTGTTGTGGAAATAGCAAACAAAAGAGGAAGCACCTAGTTAGAAATGATTGACATAGGGAAGGGAAATTTTGATCCAAACAGATACATGGGGGATGGGTTAGGACTAGAGGAAAAAGGCTGCAAGAGTACAGCTGCAGATTTACAAGAAGCTGTAATCCAGCAGCATAATGGCTAAATGTGTTGGCACTAACTGAAAACCAAACTATACCTGATAAGTCTCTTGTCACATCCTGTATTCCCTTAGAAGTAGTTTATAAAAAGGAAAAAAAATGCAAGCTAACACTGCCCAGGGGGAAAGATTGCCCACAGGGCTTTTGTATCATAATTTCTAATACCTCAAGGCAAGCTAGTGAGAAAACGGTTCACATGAAGAGTGGATTGGCAGTGCTCTTCCCAAAATATTATTTTTGGGCTGCTCATCTCTAGTGCCTGGTGACGTGGCTTCAGGGAAGGAGAGCGCACATTTTGTATAGCATGCACGTTCCTGAAACTGTACTGAGCACTGGAGCCTTTTTTATACAGTAACCTGATAACCACAAACGAACAAAACCCCCTATACTGCTAGTCAGGCCAGTGTCCTGTAGGCACTGCTTGTTATTTTGTGAAAACCTTTCAGCATTACATGTTCTTGAAGGTATTTCCTTTACTTGGACACTTCAGTGTGCCTGGCTGTCAGCTATCTAGGTAGTAGAAATGCTTGGGTTGCTTGCTCATAGTTGGACTGAAGTGCCTGACCACCCTCTGAATCAGCCCAGGAAAGCTGAGCCGTTTTGCTGTGGTGCTCAATCTTCCTCTGTAGGGTCTATGTCAAGGCCTTCTGCAGCCCTTCAGCATTTTGGGTTTTTATTCCACACATTGACCCTCACCCACACCCCAGCTTCTCACAGCATTTTTTAGAAACTGCTCAGGATATTTTTGGGGGCCTGTCATTTCCTCTTTTCCAAATACTTGAGAAGATGAGAATGAGCATCTCAGTAGAATATTCTTAAAGCATAAAATGGGAGCAAGGCAACTGGAGCCAGGAGAGATATGAAGCTAATGTAAAGATGGCTGCTTAGACTGTAAACTTGGTGTGGGAATTGAGTTAATGTGGGCTCCCAGGGAAAGGAGAAAGGACGTGGTATGGATCGAATTAGGGAAGGAAAGAATTAACTGTTGAGAAGGAGGCTGGTTACAGGGAGCTCCTGGAACAGAACCCAACGTCACCTTGCGTAAACTCTTTGGGAAAGCTGCCTGTGACAGTTGTACACCCCTGGCTATGCGTGCTGAAGGCAGGAAGAAATGAAAAATAAACAAAGCCATAGTATGTTAAGAGAACAAGCATAGTTTTAACTTTTATAAATTTCTTTTTTTAACACTTTTTATAAAGTAACTTGTGGATAATAGTATAGGCTTAAAAAAAAAAAAGCCTTTTGTCAACAGGATTGAACTGATCCCCTTTTTATTTTGGGTGTTTACAGTAAGATAGTGACTTAAAACTGTTTTGGATAGTCTCTCCATAAAATAGAAATGGAGAGCATGATGAGAATAAAAGTATTTATTATACCACCTTTCTAGTGACTGGAAGAAAGGCTTTAGTGGGGAGGGAAGGGACAGATGGTCTTTTGAGAAGATCTACAAACTGAAATGGCTACAATACGTTCCCAGGCTTGACCTTAGAGAAGAATGTAGGTGAACTATTTTTAGTGCCCCTATCGAAGTAATTGCATGTCAGTGAGTAACACTAAGTTCAAAAGTTGGTTAGAAATAGTCTCGGTGTACCTCGTAGTAATTGGGATCCGTTGCTTTTGCAGGACTGGATTATATATTGCCAAACAAAAATACACTTAAGTAAGTTGTGTAAATGAGATGTGGTCCATTAAACAAGGCATAATGTCTTCTAGTTAGTGAAAATCTGGCCATTGAGCTATATAACAAAAGGCTTACTTCAAGATAAGCATGGCCTACTGAGAGCACCAGTAAACACACTCTTTGATCATCTGGTTATCATAATTGTCTTATTGTCTGTTAGACAAGGAACTTAATAACAAATGGCTGAAGGTTTTCTTAGGTTTCCATAACAGGTTTTTTGAATTCTTTCTTCAGTGAGGCATTCAAGAGAAAAGACTGAGGGGTGCGGGGGAAAAAAGAGCACCAGAAATACAAAATTGGTCTTACCTTTCAGAAATCTCTTACCTGTCTGGATCAATTTCTATTCTAAGACAGGGCACCCGTAATGTTTAACTCAAAATCCATTCTCAGGGCAATGGCAGGGGGTGGTTAGGGCTGCACAGACACCTCCCTTGGCAGCTCTGCTGGAAAGAGCCATGCTGCTGGGGACCAGAAGAAAGGCACCTCCAGCAGAGTACAGATCCAGCTACAAAAAGCTGACTGTTTGTCTGGGAGCTGTGAAACCAAACATACTTGTGTCTGCAGTTCTTACTGGGGAGCTAGAAGCAACACACAAACGAGCATGCAAGTGGAAATTTCAAAGCTTTGTCACTTGTCATGCCATTTTTCTATAAACCTCTGAGAAAAACCATTACTAAAGCCTCAGCGATCAATCTAAGTAAGGAAGAGTTACTTCGCTGGAGCTGCCAAGTTAGACCTGAAGTCGATTGTGGTAGAGCCTACATAGCACGATGGAACAGAAGTTACTGTACACACCCAGTATCCTGGGAAACTTAGATCAAGTGACCTGACCAAAATTGCGTAGCTGTTGGTTAAACTGGTAGTTGTGCTCTCAGCATTATGTCAACTGTCCCATGAAGAATAAAAGGGAAAGTGTAAATTGCCTATATAATGCCTAGTCGGTAATTAGTTATTTAGAAAAGAATTGCAATAAAAAGGGCCCTGGTGTGGGTGTAAAGGATGGACCTTTGAAGTCTGACTGCGATTGTAAGTTATGCATGCTTGTGGTCTGTGGAATCTTTTCTATCTAACATGTTTCCAAAGTTCAATTTTTTTTTTTAAAGACAGCTATATTTAATTTTAGAAGGAAGCTATTCTGAATGCTTAAGTACTTATGTCACTCTCATTAAAAATGGGATATTAAAGAAATAATAACATAGGAGAGTCAAGTTGAACTGCTGGGCTTTTGGGCCCTGCCTTTGTGAACTCAAATCAAGTGAGCGCATGGGGAAGCAAGCTAGAAAGGTAGGATTCCAGCTGAGTCCTGAGCAAGCCAGCTATCTACATATAAACTCCTTTTCCTTCTCTTCAGTATAGAAAAGGGAATTAAATTTGCTCCAGTATGACATGTAAGTGCAGACGTGGGCAGCATTTCATATCTAACCAGTTAGGTTTACAGAAATTGAGAATTGAAATTATTTTTGAAATCGTGACCTACAAGTGTTTTAACTAAACTTCACTACTGCAGTTACTAGATCTCTTTCATTTCTCTGGTAGATGCTTGGAGGGATGAACTTCTGTTGAAAGCTTTGGGATTTTACGGTACTTATGCATGTTGCAACCTCCAGAGTTGTTTTTCCTCCTTGTCTTCTCCTTTCTCCTCCCTGACTTAATGAAAGCATAAGGAACTGTTAGTGATGAAAAGCTTTGGGTTTCTGTGTTCTTAGGAAAAATAGATGATGGGGTACTTGATCAGTGAAAGATGAAGAAAGCAGCAGAAAGAGGGAGAAAGCTCTGTATTTGCTGCTTATGTAGACTGTAGAAGTAACAGCATTTACAACTACAGAATAAAATGATGTAACTGTCTCAAACCCCTCAAAAAAGGAAATACACATGATTAAAAATCAAATGCCAGTTAAAAATGGCATCTGAAATAAGCTGTTTTCTGGAAAGTAAGAATGTAAAATATCTAGACTAGGCTAAGTGGTTTGTTTCCATGCCTTAGCTGTCCAGCAGGGAAAGTCCATCACATCCCCAAGGTTGTCCTAGCAAGACACGTGCCAAGTTACAATGGTGAGTGACAAGGTCTGACCCATCGAGCTTCTGCTACGCAAGAGAAGGAGGATATTTTGTCTTGTTTGGAGGGGGACTCACTGCTCTGGTGAGCTGTTAAATATTGAAGAACACTTTATCTCATTACAGGGAGTTACATACATATACCAATGACTGAAGTACTATAGCAATGGCAGATAGAGGAAAAAAATAGATGCATTGCAGTGAATTTTTATTTAATCTAACAGCTATGCTCACAGAAACATGTTTGTCCAAAATATTATTATTCTGTTGAACTAAAACTAACCCTTATTATTATTATTATTATTATTATTATTATTAAACTTACGTTCACTAGTTTACAATGTGACTAGTTACACGTTCATACCCTGTAGAAAATCAAAATGCCTTTGAGAATGCCTTTTACCTAGGCTCGCGTTTGTTGGATGCCATCACTGCAAAATGGAGCATGGATGAGAAAGATCCCTTCTTTCAAGGTTAAAGTAAGGGGATATCAAAAGGCATGCAACTATAGGTGTGCTTTGAGTTGTATTTCTGCTGTCTTCAGAAACCATAAATAGAAAGGAAATTCAAGAAATGAGCATTTCTTACTAAAAGAACTTAAAGACAGCATGTTCTCTTATGTAAGCAACATGTTTTCCATAAATTGTTTCAAGCTGTACAAATGTGTTTGCCAATCCTCAAAGCAATCATTTGCAGCCAGTTTTTTTGGATGATAATAAGATTAATGATAAAATAACACTGAAAACAATTTTAAAATAACCTTGGGGATTTAACATAAATCCATAAAAACAAGGAAATTCTGAGTTAAGGCAGCCAGAGTGTATTTAACTTAGTTCTGTTTTGCTTCCAAACTGCAACACATAGGTTTGTTAATTAGGAGGAAAAGGTTTAAGGCCACTTGATAAAAGTACAAACCATACATGCACTGAAAGAGCTGTAAGCACAGCAATACGCGGGGGATGTTGGGTTTATCTTTAAAGTGGCTTTATCTGTGTTAGTATGGCTAAATAGTATTAAGGAAAATAGTATATATTTTACTTTCTCTGCTTATTTTTTTTAATATTTTGTGACTAACATTGCATGTAGTGGGCATCCCCTTTTTCTGATGCTGAAATTCACCATGTAACAGTGTTTACTGTAGGTAGACTTCAGTTTTCCTGAAATGAAAGGTATTAATTGTTGTATAATACATCACATTAATAGGTTTAATCTTACCTTCAAACTGTTATCTTTGCGTTGGTGTAACATCTTGATACACAAACATTTGCAATAATTTTTGTGCCAATAGTGGTGATACCTTTTCAAAATAACGTATACTAATAATTTCCAACACCCTAGTTTACATAAAGGATCAAGAGAGAATGCCCACAGAAAAACTTAACTGATATGGAAATTGGCCTGTATAATGGAGCTAATAATCCTCACTTTGCATAGGCTTTGTACTGGCTGCTTCTGAAAACACAGGTTTTATGCCGAATTTCTTAAGCTTATGGAAGATGTAAACAAGGAAAATTCAACTGTGTAATTGTACTGCCAATAAGAGGATTTATCAGCAGCCTCAAAACTTGAAATGTGCTGCATAGGCCTGCAACTTGATCTGGAGGAGCAGTTATTAGCGCTATTAGGTTATAAACCTTCCTGCCGCAGAAAAGCCTGAAGAGGGCTGGTGTGCTTCTTGCAGACTGCATCTCTGAAGAGTTGCATTATGAAGTTCTGGCAAGTCTTTACTGGACATGGGCAAAGTGCAGTTATTTCAGATGTTTGTTAGAGCACTACAGCACTAAATTTTACTTGGTTTTCAAAGGATAATCCCTTAACCATCCCCTGTATCCCTAACCCCAAATTTTTAGTCCCTGCTCAAAGCTACATGTAGACTAGAGTTTTCATATACAAGATTTAGAATCAGGACAATAGCATTATTCTTCTTAGCTGTGTTCTTGGAAATTGGTAGGTTTTATGGTAGAAAAACTTGTAAAAAGTCTGAAGCCTGATGGGATGAAAGAAGTCAAGTCAAAGAGTTCAAAGTGTAAGATTACAGACAATGCAAAAAAACGGCATCTTCTAATGAGAAGGCTTGGGCAGCTAACTTAATAATGATCCTACTATATTACTTTGTAATTAGGTGATTTCCTTCTTAGATGGCCAAGAAATAAATCCTATAAATACAAGCTTATATGACAGCAGTGACAAGATAATGTCTCACAGAAGTCACTGCCTGAAATCCAGAGATGTAAAATGTGTAGAAATACAAAAGAACTTCATGGGTATCATGACCTTCTGAGGCAAAATCTCCTATCACTGGACCCACCAAAGCAAAATCCAGCATGTCTGGATGACCATCAGGGGCTGGGTGTTAAAACACCTGAATTACAGAAATGGGAGATGTGTTCATCCTTTTCATACTGCAAGGACACAGACATCTCTTGGAAACTGTGGGCTGGAGCATGTTATTTCAGAAGAAAATACTTACTAGCAGGGAGGAACCCTGTATTTATATTGCCAAATGCTTTCCGCTGTAAAAAAAAAAAAAAAAAAAAAAATGTCCTTTGACCTTTCTGGGAAAGCTGTAGTTCTCCCTTTGTGTATGGGAAGCCTTGGAAAGCTGAGCAAAGACAGCTCCTTGGAGCCAGAGAGGTGTCTTTTTCTGCCTGCTTTTGCTCAGCTCTGGCTGAGATGTCATTTCATTTAAGTTTTACTTACATACTTACTAAAATGGTAGAACCAAAGGCTCAGTTTTAACCAGGGAGGATGACCTAGCTAGGCAGGTCACAGCTGAGAAGGAGGAAGGTCTTTTGCCACCTCTTGCTTTCTTCCAACTCCTGGCCAGTTTGTGCTGGCCTGGTTCAGTTTGTGCTGACGCTGGCACCCTTTTTGCTGTGCCCAAATTCACCAGTCTGGCAGAAAACTACTGCTCTGACAAGACCATCACTACGGAATGAGCTGATTCAGTTCAAGACAAGATTCAGTATGGGGGAAAGCCAGTGTGAGGACAGGACTGGCATCATGTGGCCGGGAGGATGGAGGGTAAGGAGCAGGTTTTGAGGGGAGAGCAAATCCTCCTTTTCAGTGCTGCCTTGGTTCAGCTCAGCCATTTGGGAAGTGGTGCTCACAGGCTATATGAAGACAAAAGCATTTATTCTGTTCTGAGCTGAGGAAATAAGCACCTTCTCAAGGGAGATGGGTAGAGAGAGCCAGACTGGATGTCCTTGACAATTTCTTCTACCCCATCACCTACATTAATCCCTCTGTTCAATTATATCGCCGTGGTGCATATCTGAATTCAGCCCTGTTCTTGATGGTGCCTTATTACTGGGTCTTCAGACATGAAAACAACAGGAAATAGCATTCAGAACTCAGATCATTAGATGAAATATATTTAGGAAGTGCTGAAGAGCTTGAAAATGCAGCTCTCAGTGTTGTGAGCATCCCTAATTTAGTCCTCTTCTCTTGTGTGCATTATGGTACCTTCAAGGCTGAGAGCTCATCAGTGTCTTTCCTGTCGCTTCCCTTCATCTTGCAGCAAATGAAAGTAGCAGAAACTGTTATAAAGAAGAAACTAAAGATTCTCTGTAGATTTTGGATGCTGGGTAATAAGTAGGTCAATAGCCAAATGGAAAAAACTAAGTATCTTACAGCTAGCATGTTCTTCGAACAGTCCTTTCTGTACCTGAATGCAGACTTGGTGTAAAAAAAAAAAAAAAAGGCTTTTAACCATAAAACTGAAGATATTATATCAGTGCTTACATGGAAGGGGATTGGACAACAGTTGTATAGGCAGCCTAAATTTTGGCAATACCTGACTTCAGCAGAGCTTGATTTTGCCATCTTAATTGTGTGGGTGGGGCCTGTCCAATTGTTTGTATGTCATTAACATTAAAGAAATGAATAACCATTCTCAAGACCTTTCCTATGCGCATTGTGTTCTTTAGTCCATAAGGATTAACTTCTTTCTAGGCAAAGCTTCAAAAAGGAAAATTACGTACTATTAAAATAACTCATTTTAGAGCTTCATATTTTCACTTAGATCTTAATCAAGCTATTATTGTTATTAAAATATTCTGAAGTGAATTCAGATTTCATAAATATGGATTTTTTTTGGAGCTGCTTCTGCGTGCAGAGCAAGTTAAAAATGAGCACACAGCCTCTAATGGGACTTATTAGTTCCCTGAGAAGTTGCTTATAGTTTCTTCAGTGACTCAGCTGGAGACCCTGGTGCTCTCTGAAGTGTTTGCCACGTTTATTTCCCTGACATCTCGTAAAATCCCAATTGCAAGAGTCTCTTGCTAAGTCTTCTATGTACAATTTTATCAAGATCATCAAAAAGGTACATTAGAAATCCAAATTAAATTGGCAAAGCAAAATGAAGAAGCTTGGAATAAAACTCCTAGTGCCTGCCTAAACTCCCTTGTGTTGTGGCTAAATATTGCAGCATTTTCACTACAAGGATGGATACTACAAGGATGGATTTTTCCTTTCTTGCATGTTTATTTTCGTTGTTGTTAGTTTAAAACCATCTTTATATGTTTACCTAGGGTTCTAGTATATCTGCTGCTTTTTAAACTGAGCTCTGTAATAGCCATCGCAGTGTCCTTGTAAGTGTGGAAACGCTCTGCTCTTTGCTTGCTTTCCTCCTTCAGTGCATTGCTGAGGCTGTCCCATTTGGCTTTTCTCTGTTCTCCACTGACTGTCTTCCATTTTGCTTTTCTTTTATCAATCTTTCTTGGTTAGTACAGTGAGTAAAACGCGTGCAATCCTCATCTCTTCCCTCTGGGGGACTGCAGCAAGTTTGTAAGCTGCAGCAGCATTAGGAAGATGTGATCAAAGATCAATGCGATGTGGCTTTGGGACGTTTGGTAGCTCGTGACTACCCGCTGAGCAGTGTCTGGTGCCAGTGCAAAGCAGGGAAGCCTAAGGCTGATTTTGGTTTTCCTCTACACCCTCTGAACCTGAAGTAAGTGACTCCTGATTTATAGGGATGTGAAGAGGAATGGAAATGGGCCAGCAGCTAAGAGCCCCTCTTGCTGGGACGGGTACGCGTGCGCCAGTTGGCTACATTGGTTTTCTTTGGCAAGGACTACTGCAACTAGAGAGTAGCTGGAGACATCTGAAGCACTGAAGTTGTTTTAAAAAATCGTGGAACTAGCTTGTTGGAATTGCTGTCATGTTTAAAAACACCAGGGGTAACAACAGGATCTATGCAATTCCAGTTTTACTTCCTGAATGTAAAGTGACCATAGAGGATAGTTGAGGAAAAGGAGTGCTATGCTAATAAAAAGAACTGGTGTTGGCTTGGGCTAGGAGGGAGTTCACGTTCTTCATAGCAGCTGGTGTGGCGCTTGGTTTTGGGTTTGTGACCTAAACAGTGTTGATATCACATCTAGCTGATGCTGGAGGGTGCTCATGCTGCGTGGAGGCTACCTGTTTCTCACCCTGCCCCACCAGCAAGGAGCTGGGGTTGGTCAGGAGGCTGGGAGGGCATGTTCTCCAGACACTGCATAAAACTGTACAGGATGCTTTGTATGATCGCAGAGATGTTGAGGCTTGAAGTAACCTCTAGAGGTGGTCTAGTCCAACCCCAGGGTTGTGCCCAGTGGGTTTTGGCATCTCCTGGGGTGGAGGTGCCACAACCCCTCTACCATTTTGTTTGGGAATGGGTTATAACAAGAACCGCACAGTACACACACAAACATATAATTTTGCCAAGAATTTAGGCAATATTAATTTAACATCGGGGTTTTGCTTAAAATATATAAACTTTTCTCAGATGGCCTATTTTAGCTTTTTGACTAATTACAGCTGGCTTTGTAATGCTATATTACAAGCGAAGTGGACAGCAAAGTTGCTTCCCTATTCCCTTGCTCTAGCTAAGCTCCTCTAGAATAATTGTCTCCATTTTATCTATCTGCAGTCTTTAGTGACCTTGCTTTAATGACCTTGGAAGTACGATGGGCCAAAGTCAGTGCTGTCATGCATGGGATTGGTGCCACTAATAACAGGTCTTTTTTGCAGTGACCGTAACAGAGGCTTTGATCCGGTGCTTCTCAGCAATGCTGCAGAAGTTATGCACCTGCTCCCATCTTCAGTTTGTCACGGGCTCAGGCTTCAATGATGTATGGAGTGCAGAAGTACAGTTTCTTGGATAATTAAAACAAACAAAAAGAAGCGTTTCCTCTCTCTGACAGATAAATGGCTAAGTAGATTAAAACATGGTTGAAAAAGCTTTGCTTGTAAAACTAGAAATATGATTGCGGAGTATTTTGCCAATGAGTAATGGATTGGAATCTGTAACTGTTGGCCACAATGTTGTTTTTGTTAATTTTTATTTTTTTTTTAATTATGATGGGGGTTCTGTTATGCCATCATAAAACGAAGATAACTCGTTCCCCTCACATCCCTCCCCAAAATCCGTTACAGTCTATAAATTAGCAGAGGGAGTCCCGTAGGGATATAAAAATAGAGATTTTTTTAAAAGATATAAGTCTTGTCAAGGTACATGACATTTGAATGGAGATTTTCCAACATTCAGAACCATTTTAGAGGTGAGCACCTATTTCAGAGCCACTCCTGTTTTGAAAATGTTCTTCCCCCTTTTTTTTTTTCCCAAAGATCTTGGTAAATGTTTTTAATAAATTAGAACTAAATGTTGCCAGATCTACAAACAACTTTGTCTCTATGGATATTCCATGAATAACCTTTACTTAACTGAATAAAGCAGAAAAGCAGTAAGTTCAACCTTTCTTTCTCCCTCTGAGCAGTCCACTCCCTTGCGCAGAGTTCAGCTCTCAGTCCAGACCACCCACATCATGAATGAATGCTCTGATCTTGCCCTCCAACCACCTGGAACTGGATAACTGCCTTTCAAAATAGACTACACCCTCTTTTATTTCCTAATGTCTCAGGTACATTTTTCAGTACTTAAGCACTTCACAGGCAAGGGTGATATCCATTCTACTTCTATAATGGTTACTAAAATGTTTATTCTCCAAGGGAAAGGAAAAATACAGGACAAAAGATACCAGCACACAATTTTTTCAGTGTACTAATATTGCACCTCTGTCTGTTTCTGCCCAGTTTCAAACTCAAGTTTGCAATAGGGAACCTGAGGAATCAGACTTGTAAGCCTGTAGTTCCTGTGACTCCAGAGCCTGGAGAAATTTGGGGGTACACAACCTCTTGTTTCAGAAGACTTGGTGTTACCACTTGGTGCTTTAGTAGAAAGTGTTTTTTTGAATCTGCACAGTGCCCTGGTGATTTGGGACTCTTAAATATGCAAATAAATGTTTTGGAGATCTTACATCTTTCCGGGGCTGTTCTTATTTACAGTGCTGCTGTTGGATGAGAAGCTGAAGTGGGCTGTAGGTGAGCCTCAGGCTGGGCACATCGTTCTTAGGATCCCTGTTCTGGCAGAGGTAATACTGAGGGGAATGTCCAAAGCTGATGAGGAGAGGCAGGATCAGAGACCTGGGAAGGGCCCTAAAATGTCAATGGAAGGATCATTGAGATCTTCCTCTGTCTCACAGGTCCATGGGGGACTTTATCTTTCGAACTCCTCAGCATACCAACCAAGAACAGAAAACAGGATAGAACAATGTAATCATGATACAGTTATCAAAAGATAACCAAATGGCTCATTCCCACCTGCCTAGTAGCTCCAGAGATGAGTTTTGGGAGGACAGCTACCCTCTGCATCCTGGGAAAGCACAAACTTCAGTTCACATTTGCTGAAAGTGTATTTGGCTGCTGGAAGGGCCAGAGGGAAGGGTCCCGCTGAAGGAGCCATAGAGCTGAACTAGTGCAAACCAGCAGTTATGCATAGGAATGCAATAAGGTTTTGCCTAAGAGCCTCCATTTCTAGACACTGTCCCAGCATCCGCATCAGGAAAACAGCCCGCTATTTGTTTCCTTCCAACCTTTGTTGGGTTCAGAGAAAACACAATTTTTTGGAAGAAAAATTCTTCTAGTGGAATGCAGTGCAGAAAATAAAGAATTAGGAAAAGAAACTGCTGATAAAGACTGCATCAAAAGCAGAATAGTGATCAACATCTAAGTGCAGAAACAAAAGCTCATTTACTGTAAATGATGCACTCTGATCTTTGAGTCAAATTCAACCATAGTGTAACAGCATTAATTGACCCTAAGGGTTTGGCTTTTCTTTTTTAAACGTTCTCATCTTGTTTCTGGAAAAAAATATGTGATAACAGATTTGCAATCCGCCTGATTTGCATTCTTAAAGTTTATTATGGCCCAGCCTAGCCCGCGTTCACATTCCAGTGTCTCCTCCTGAATAAACCGAAGCACCTTCCAGATGTGGTTGATACGGTGATTATGTTTCTGTGCTGCAAAAGTTATATGAAGATTTCTTAATGACAAGCACAAGTTTTTATTTAATTTAGGATTTTGCCTTCCAGTAAGCTCATCTTTTCATAATGACAAAGCCAGTTCTGCAAGGTTCAAAGTAGAAGCCCTTGGAGGTTAATTTCCTGCCAGCAGGGGAGGAGTCAACCACCACTGTGTGAGCATCACTGCAAGATATGGGCTGGGACACTTGTAGACCGCCATCAAGACAAAGAAAGAGTGGAGGGAGGCACACAACCAAACATAAGTTTTGGAATTTAGTCCTTGTATTCTGGCTTGTCTGCTTTGTCTTTTAGATGAGAAACTCCATGGGATAAAATTGCATTTTCCCCATTTGGGTATTTGTGTAGCATCAAGCACGGTATCATCAAATGTCGTATAATTCATCACTGATGGGACAATGCCAGCTGTGAATGATTTAAAGACAGAAAGGTCTTCTTCTTAATGCATCAGTACCTGTTTGAATGTACTTTAAATGAAATTCAGTTCCCTTTACAGTTAGGGCTTAGGAAAAATCTGTTAGCTATTCATAGGCCTCATTTTTTTTTTTTTCCTGTCATTGTTCATGCAGAAGGCTAAATAGTATTTAAAAATGGGTTAAATAAATGAAGTTTTTGCTAGTATGTCTGAAAACATAACCTGTTGTCCTGGACTAGATAGACACTTATTGCAACACTGCATTTTCAGCCACATTCCACTGGTTGGAAAAGATATGCTTAGTTCTTTGGAAAAGATCTCTAAGAAGTGAGAAATTCAAAAATGCTCGCTTCATCAATTTTTATAGCCAGTACGTTTCCCTTTGCTTCATGGTTGCCAAGAACTTTTATCCATTAAGGATATTCAGGCTCACATAAATTCAGTTCTTTTACACAGATACATGCGTTCGGAGATAGCTAGCAGTTACCGGACTCCAGGATTTACTTACACAAAATGCTACTGAAATGAAAATATAAGAAATGAAATAAATAAAAGCTAATATATTGTTAGGCAAGTGTGGTTAGGTTAACTGTCTACTGAATGAAAAAAATATATAGAGAGAAATTAATTTAGCACGCAATGTAAATTTGACAGCGTGTGGTGTCTATGTGTCAACTGTGGATGAATCTGCTGATAAAATATCATGATCTGATAAAAGATCCTCTCTAATAACTGCAATAACTGCATTGTATTCTTTATGTTCCCATTTTCCTAGTGGATTGGTTTTCCTTTCATGCCACTCAGATGTTCCCTATGCTCTTTCAGGAGTACTTTGCTATGCAAGCTGCCCAAATATTTCTGATAACACTTACCGAGTTAATTGCTTTCACCTCTCTACTGGTTGTCTCATACCTTGCTGTGATCAGCTTCCCACAGATACATCCCTGGCTTTCCCTAGCAGTGTTCCTAACATTGCTGCTCTCCTTCCCTGCCCAGCAGTCACACAAGGATATCTGCCAGCACCACGTTTCAGATGGTTCAGTTCTCTTCCTTTCAACAACACTAACTTCTCGCAATTCGCATTTACAAAGCCCTGTGGGAAAAGCAAGCCTTTTGGTCAGACATTTTGGGATGTCATGTTTTTATTTTAACTCAGGGAAATTTTCATCAGGGAAAGTAGCTGAACATGCTGTTCCCAGTTTTTCCCCAGTTTCTCTGGAATGTCCTCCTTGGCTGCTTCGATGGGATTCCGAGCTGGCTGAGTCTGCTCCTAAGAGTGGCTTTTTGCTCACCTACTTTTAGTTAGAATAAATAGTTTGGCTTTTGTTTTTACCACATTCAGTGATGGTTCCTTGCCATCTGTTTTTATTGGCTCCAAGTTTTGTTGGGCTGTGCCAGTGACTGATAGACAGAAACCTGTGCCTCTTTAATCCTGTAACTTGCCCCCTTGCTGTCACCAGGTGTTGCCCACACCGTGGTCAGCTGCTGGCAGTGGGGGCCTGCGATACATGCAGTGAGACGCTTTCCATTTTCATCTGCCGGTGTTCTCCACAGACAGCACAGCTTCCTTCAGACCTGCCGGTGAAACATCCCATCAGCTGCACTTCCTGCACTTTCCAGTGACACGATGAACAGCTGTGATTTCGTAGCATGCACTTGAGCATGTCTCCTGATGACGTTTGGAGTTCTATTGGTCACTTCATGGTCTCTTGCGTGCAGTTCCCTCTGCTGAACAGAAATTATATGCCTTCAGTATCAAGGAAATCATGCACTTACTACAGCCCCACTGTGTGTACCTCCTCAGGGAGAGCAACTCTTTTCATTCAGCCAATTTCCAGACACCTAGACAGCCAGCTGCACAAGACCAGAAGAGACCAGTGTTTTGTTTGCCAAGAGCTATTAATGACAGCCTCTCTGGTGTATCCTCTGTGCCTGCTGCTTTCCCAGGCTTCCTTCTCAGCCGAGAACATACCACTTCCTTCCCCCAGACCTGGGGCTCACAAGGGAGCTGGGGACTGAGCAGCCACAAGCATGCTGTGCAATCGATGGGATGCAGTGTACATCAGGTGATGCTAACAGCAGCCTCGCAACCCCCAGGCTTCCTTCCTCCCTCCCTCAGAAGGTAGGTGTCTGGGCTGCATGTTCATGCTCTCTCTTCCAACCTCCCATAGTATGAACAGTTCTTCTGAGGTGGCCAAAAGGACATCTCTGCAGTGTCTCCAAATCTCCCACTGAAGTCTCCAAGGTAGTCTTTAAGCACTTGGAAAACCTTCAATCGTGGCACAAAGTGTTTGGTGAGGAATTGGACCACTACAACATTTGCACAATTTCTTGCCTTAGGATGCCCTAGGTTATGCCTCTTCCCTTAATGTCTCGTCTGCTGCTGCGTCTGCATTATCCCTGTTTTGAAACTCTCCTATGTTCCTCAATCTCCAAACCATTCTCTTTCTCTTCCTTTACTATTTTCTGCCTGCTCCAGCACCTTCTCATTTAGCCACGGTGAGGTCCAATGCTAACTTAATGGAAAGTGCGTGGAGACAAACAGTACAGGGCTCGCTTTGCTCCTGAGTTTGCCTGGGTTTGTCTCTGTGCTCACTTCTGACAATGCCTCAGCCCTGTTTTGCCCAGAAACCAAATATTTCAGCTGATTCTAGAAAAAGTCAGCCAAAGCTGACATCCTCAACATCTTGTCTTTTCAACTTTCAACTTTGAGCTAAGAAATGGCTGATCCAGAGCCTGCATTGTTCATTTCACACCTGATCTCTGGGGTTTTTATATCATTACATAAATGATTTAATTCTTTGTTCTGCTGTGGGGAAAATTCAGTATGCTGCGTAGTCTGGGAAACTCCCTAGGATATGGAATGAAAATGTAAAGAGTGGGTAAATCTGGCAATATGAACTCCACCAAAGGAAAGAAGTGATTCCTTTAGGTGCTCTTCTGCTGGACACTGCTTGAACTATTCTTCTCCTTTTGCTGTGATTGCTGGCTGATTTGACCATCCTCTTCAGAAACTTTAACAGACAAAAATTTGTCTGGTCTTTTTGTTTGTTTTTTTTTTTTTTTTTCCTGGAAATTTTATATAAAAACAGTGCACTGCCACACACACCAGGGAAAAATATAGGTGCTAGCTCCTAACGGCTATGGTATGTATACATTGTATTGAGGTTTACTATTTAAACATAGACCACATCTGGAATTGTATATACCTTGAACCTTATATGTCTGAAATGTTGACTGTTACTCACAGGCATCAGAAATCTGTCTCTGCTTAATGTCACAGGTTTTCCAGCAAAAACTACTGAGTGAATACAGTGAGTATCAGAGTGGCCGTGATTCCCAGTGGGACCGGACAGTAATATAAGCATTGCAGGGTTTGTGCCTACTTTCTTCAAGTTCTTCTCCTATTCATAATTAAATGTTGCACACAGCAAGTATAGGGCACATGAAACCACAGTGTACCTTCTTGCCTACCTCTCAACAGCCATATTTAAACAAGATTTGCTATAAAGATGCTAACGTTGTTTTGTTCGCCCCATGGAAAAAAACATGAAGGGCTTCTGAAACTTGAAAAAGCATGTGAGTCGCAGGGTCTGTTACATAAGGAGATTAGGAATGAAATAAGGACGTACTGTGTACTAGCCAAGCTATCCTTTATCGTTCAAAGAGACTTAATGAAATTCCTGAGTTTTGTAACCAAAATAAGGTCTCTCTCTCATGAAAAGGATAGACTAAAATGCTTTAGAGGAGTCAAAATATGAAAATGAGGTTCTACATTTCTGCTTAAAAAAATCAACAGGATGATGGAAGAGCTATTTTTCTTTTCTGGATTACATAGCCGTACTATTGATCCAACTTTAGAAAATGTTCTTCCTTTAGAGAAACTATTCTTGGCAATAAAATGTTTGTGCAAGCAGCGATATGAGAACATTTTCAGGTGTAAAAACTACAGATCTATTAGGCAACACAATGAAATCCAGAAATATGAGGATAATAAAAAGCAAACTTGTTGAAAATTTATATTCACATCAGAAAGATATCTTTCAGGAAAATTCTGGATACTAGATCCAGAAAAGAAGAGTCAGCGTTGAGCAAAGTATTGATTAGAGGAATGAAAAGATCCATAAAATCCTAGCCATGGCAATGCCAGAGAAATCAGGTTTGTTTATATGTCTCCTGTTGTGGCTTCAGAAGAGTGAATATGTTCTGTCATCTTGAATCTTTGTTTTACAGTTTATAATAGACTTTATATAGTTTTATATTTTGCTGATTGTGTCTCAGTGGCTCAGAATATGAGCCTGCAAGATGGCAGATCTGAAATAAAAACATTATAGAAAGTCTTACAGCTTTTAATAAAAATTGAAAACTATCTAATAGATAACTGAATTCCTGAAATGGCCCGCGATGGCAGTTACAGATCATAAGCTTTTTCTTACTGAGAGCCACGTGGGACTTTCAGCAGGTCATATATTAAAATACACCTTGGCATTATCAAATATTAAGGCAGAAATATTTAGGGCTCACCTTTGGCACACCAGAGTGACGTCTGAACTTCCAGATAAAATGTGTCCCTTCTAAAACACCGACTTGGTGCTACTGAGTAGGCTGAAGGAATGGGGCGGTAGGTTTCTGTGACTCTCAACAGAGGGAGGAATCTCCATGAGACTTTCTGTGGCCCTGGAACACCTGTCCCAGGTATACTGGTCCCCAGTAACCTCTCTGGGAAGCTTGCAAGGAATTGTTCCACCTCATAACTTACCCTGATACCAATTGCATAGGCTGGATGGAAATTTCCACCTATGCTTGGGGCAAGGGACCCAGAAATCTCTTTTGACTGCAGTTTAAGATGTGCAAAGAAACATCTCTCTGTCTCTGTAGGCCCTGTGTATATCTGCCTATTCCACGGAAGAAACAAAAATGTGAATTTCCCCTGCCATTTCCTCACGGGTCATTCTAGGAAGTCATCTTTGCCCTGATGCTGGGTCTCCCTCTCTGCACCCCAAATCAGCATGACTGAGACCCGCTCTTGTTCTGCGAGGAGCACAGACAGCACGAGGAGGGGTAGAGGAGGAGAACTTGGACCAGAGGGGTGGCTCGTCCTGGGGCATTCCTGCTGCAACGCCAGCAGGCTCAGTTCACAGTTCTCCTTGCTTCCTCTCTTCCCAGCACGAAGCAGACTTCGAAGCACAGCATAATTAACCACAATAAGTAATGAAACTGACCTAGTTTGGATTTGATCGCAGTGTTTCCAACTTGGTGTGCCGGCTGGCCTTTCCTGGTGGGAAAACTCCTGCAAAAATAGCCTCCCTTGGGAAGACACCGTTCATCCAGATGGCATACCCACTGAAAAATAGGAAATCCTCTTTCTCATGTAGTACAAAACCCAGATGGTGGAAATTAAAATATTTCCCACATTGTTGAGGGCATCTGAAAGGAAAGATTAACTTGCACCTGCCAGTCAACCAAAGAGGAAATCAGATCCCAATCTGGTCAGATCATGAGTGCTTCTGGACCAGGTGCGGAGACAGATAAGGTAGCACCTGGGATCCATTGGCCCCAAGGCTCACACCAAGTCTTACCACCCCATTCTGGAGTGGGACTTTCCCCTCAGTGCCAGGGCTGGGTGTGTTTCTGATGATCTTCCAAAGCTGCTGGGACACGGTCCTGGGCAACCTGCTGTAGGTGGCCCTGCTGGAGCAGGGAGCTGGACCAGGTGGCCTCCAGAGGTCCCTTCCCACCTCAACCAACCCATAATTCTGTGAAGAGGGCAAAGAGTGGAGCCTGAAGGTGAAATACAATGTGTAATAGGGCAGATGAACAAGCGAGGGGTTAATATGCAAGGAAGAGAACTGGCGAGAGAAAACAGGAAGACAAAGGGAGGGGTAAAAAAAAAAGGCTGCACCAGAAGGAAATTTATCCTACAGAGAATAAAAAAGAGAAAGTCGGACCCCTGGATCCAGAAATTATTTTCATAGCCCTAGGGCAATGAAGAGGGTCAGTTTTCAGTGAACTGAAAAACGAACAAGGAGAAGTAATGGTAGTCTGAAAGTCTTGGGGAACCTTCTGAAGTCTTTGAAATGCTGATACTTTAAGTTACAGCTGCCCCAAACACACAGGGCAGGGATCTTCCTTTGAGGTAACAGCCCTGATGTTGCTGCTCATTTCTTGAAAAATACCAGAAAGCAAAAAGGATTTCTAGAAAGAGTTTTGTTTTGTTTTGTTTTGTTTTCTGTTTCATAGATAGCTGTCCATTTAAGAAAAAATTAACATTTTGTAAAAATAGTAATAATAATAACAATAATGATAATAATAATAATAATAAATAGCCCTTATTTTGTTCTACTTTTTGAAGGTCAGTTTTCTCTGAAATGAATTAATCAGAGTCCAGCATAAATACCATATGCTGACTCTTTAGCCCCAAAGTGAGAGGAAAAATACATTTAGTTTTTGTTTGTTTGAACTTTAATGTAAGGGGTTCGGGGAGCCCTCTACAATGTCCCTTGGTGAAATGTTTACCCTGCCATTTTTCCATGGGGACAACTGTGAGCAGCTGATCTTCCCCTTCTAGGGAAAGGGTTTATTTTGAGGTTAAGGGAGACAGCTACTGGAAAAGAATCTTATTTAATAAAGAAATGAACAATTCATCTGGCAGAGCTGACAAAAAAGGCCTGACAAAGGAGCAATAATAGCGTTAACCTCAGGCTCTGTGTGTGGTCCACAGATGAAGTGTTTTGAAGGCCATGGTTTGCCTGTCCTCTCTGAGTGAAGAGAGGGAGAGAGAAAAACAAATCTGTGCCATTGCTGCCTGTGATTTTTTTTTGTCTTGTTACAGGAAAAGCAAAGGCAACTGTGAGGCCAGCTTACTCTCTGCTTGTGATTGAACATCCTATTCTTGTGGTCATGGCAAAACTAAACGGTGGTTTGGACTTCCAATAGCCCCCACCCCAAGTTCTAGATTTCACTGAAAATACCCGGAGTTTAACAAACCACTTTGTTCCTTAAATCATTGTTTTTCAAGGGAAATTTAATTTAAAAGATGTATTTATAACTAAGTGAAACCCTATGCTATGCAAACAAAAAGATTATTGTTTGAAATAATTCCCGTCTAGTTGGGACCATGTCCAGAACTCATATTTTCTCAGAGCCAAACTGAAATGGGACTACAGACATTCGGCTCTAAATCTGGTAATCCACGACTTCAGGGGCCAAATCCTGCTTTCAGCTCCACTGCTGTAAGTTCAAAGTTACTCCACTGACTTCACATTTGGCCCCATATGTGGAAAACAAGATTTCACCTCCGTGTCATGCTTTGCTCAATTTCTTCTTGGATTTCTCTTTGTCCGTTTTCCTCTCAAATTTAAAAACAAGAATTTAATCCAGCCAGCAGATTAATTTGAGCAATAAAGAGCCCATGTAAAGTGGGCCAAAAAAAAAAAAAAAAAAGTAGAAACTGGAAGGTGCTGGTGCCTGGAACTGAGGTCCAAAGGCATGAAGTACCTTTTGCTCTGGCTGACAGGAAGCTGCTCCTAATATTTGTGTATTTCTGAGGAAGGGAGAGCATTCCAGTTCATGCTATTTCATGAACAAAAGTGTATTTTAATTAATTCCGAACATCAGGCATTGTCAACTTTAAGGATCTTATTTCATCATGTTTTTCAGTAAATTGCTACCATGATTGGTTCTGCCCGGGAGCCAAACTGAGCGTGGCCCTTATGTGTGTCAGGGTAATGAGGAGGAAGGAATCTAAGTAACCAGCCTTTCCCTTGCACAGCTCACATAGAAATAAAAAGTTCAGTCTGTGGATTCCTCTCTTTCTTCCTTCCCTCCCTGTTGTGAAAAAGAAGACAAATAAATGTGTGGGAAAATAATTTTGATAACTTGAGTTATTCCAAAATCTTGAGATTGATTGAACAATAAATTGTAGATCCATATGGGCTTTAGTATTCATCTTTCCAAATCTTTGTCTGCAACCGGGAAATCTCAGACCTTTTTAAAGAAAAGCAGAAGCTGGCAGTCTCAGACGTTCTCATGTTGACATGTCCCTGGAAGCACGAGCTGTGTAAAAACACAGTCAGTGTGAGATTAGGCAACAAAGACTGTTTTTCAGCTCCATGATAATTACTGGAACCAGGCAGGCTTACATGTGCAGGGAAAGAAAAGGAAAGTAATCCCACCCTAGAAAGTCATTCCTTCCATATGCATGTGAACTCGGATCTAGGCAGAAACCTATGACATGGTTTATGGTTTCCTTAATATAAATTAAAACCATCGAACAAATTATCGCAAACATTTCTTATAGACAATAACAGTAGATGTGTAGAAGAAACTGCAAAGGATTATCGGTGGTCAATATATTTAGTTTGTGAGAATTACCTAAGCAAAATATGGTTTCATATAAACACATTACCTCCTAACACATTTACACCCTAACTGTAGTTTATATTGACAGTGAAGATATGGTTGATCAAAAATAGATCGTCTGCCTTCCCATATCAAAAAATATATTCCTCTCTGTTAACCACATGCCCATCTGCTTTTTATTCTGTCCTTTTTATTCTGTCCTATTTTTATTCTGTCCTTGGTTTTGTTCTGTCCTATACAGCTCTAGCTTACTTCATGTAATTTCACAGGTCTGTTTATGAACGAGTTTCTGTTACTGCTGTTCCTATTATTACTCTTGTTAGGTATATCTGATTAGGCTTTACTAGTCCTAGAGAATCCAACACCAGGATGGAATTAAATGTACTTAAAACCTGTAGGCTACCCAGGCACCTGAATGGAAAAAAGACTGAAACATCCTCAGCAGCTGATGGCTTCACCATGGCACTGCCCTGTCCCCTCCCAGGGCCTCCACCTCACCCTTCACTGGCTCTTGGACCAAAAGTGGGAAGCAAAGGAAACAAAATGGCAAACTAATTTGTTTCTTTGCTGCTCTTCCTGCAGCAGAATCTGTACTGTCTCTTCCCACCCTTTCTCAAGAACAAGGAGTCAAAGAGTTTGTTGTATCCTAAGGAGATGCCACAGGTGATGGCAAGCTACTGCTCCAGGTTTTGTCTGATGCACAAGTCTCTTGTACTTCAGTAAATCTGTAAGGGGAGGATGCGCCTAAAATGCTCATACAAAGCTCACCACTATGCAATTTTTGAAATCAGAAGTAAGTAATAGAAGTAGTAGAGAAGTCAGGTAGGGTTTTAGAAGGAAATACTACTTCTTTAGATGTGTGTTTTAGATAAATAAAATTAATTAAATCCTTCAATGCACTCTTGCTAGGATGGTCTAGGATATTCTCTAATAATCTTCTATCAGGACCACTTGCTAATTATGCTACATTGTAGTACTAAGCAGGGATATCTTAGAAGGGCCTGAAAAAATGTCTCCCTCTCCCATTGAATAAATTCTTACAGTGCATTCTCTGGGCTGTAATAAATAAAGAAAGGAACTGGGAAGCCATTAGGTACGGCCTGGTACATTTCAGGACGAAACAAGACAGCATTATTTTTTCATTTCCAATACTGGCCTAAAATGAAAACTCAGGATAGAAAATGACACTACAAACATTCAATGATAAGGCTATTCAAGCTAGATTTTCAGTCAGTTTAAGGGCCATGCCAGGAATTGTTAGAGAGCTTATCAAAAGAAATAGTCATGATGATTTAGACAAAATAATTGCCTTTGACCTTTCCTTTCCTAGTGAACAGTTCTCCTTCTGAAAAAGCAGACTTCTTAATGGTGGCAGTTCTCCAAAATGGTATAGAAGTACTTATTCATTAGTGACATGGAGTGGTTATCATTGGAAAATTCATATTAGGTTGGACTCTTGCTATTTTAAATAAATTACAAAAAGCCTATTCCTGACTTCTTCCACATAAAAGAACAGTTGACTTGAATGAGAAAAAAAAAAAAAAAAGTAGCAAATCCATCTCATCAGAGTGCAAAATGTACATTTCATGGATACAGCGCTCCGTGCTATAGCTGTGTTCAAGGCAGGTGCTCTTGTAGGAATGTCCCATCCCCGGTCTCCCAGGCAGGAGATCTGCAGGAGCATGATGTGACTCCTGTGCAGCTCAGGTGGATTTCTCCTCATGCACAATACAGCCTTTTGTCCTCACACACATTAGGGATGTGACCAAGCTGTGTCACACGAGCTGGAAAACAGAAAACACAACATATATACACAACTGCATCTTTAGCAAGCTGAATACAATTACAGTGTTTTTCGTACTGCTCTGTTCTTACCATAATTTGCACAACAAGAACCAAATGCTACTTTGGTGCACCAGGTGTTACAACATTATTGCCATGCCTAGAAGCCTCTTCACATCCCTAACTGGGGCATTGCTGTAGTTCAAATAGCAACAAATTACAGTGGTCTAAATAGCAAGTCAAGATAATGAGTCCAAATTGACTTCACTGCAATTGCATCAGTGCAACACCAGGTAAAATCTAGCCTTTGGGTGGAGGTAGCTCCTCTAGTGGAAGGTAGGTTGGTGTGCCTTGCCCTGCTTCTTCCCTCTTGCCAGAGGAGGTAGCAGCTAGAGCCAGGGGAAGGTGCATCCTCCTTTTGCCCTGGAAATATTGGCCATTGGGTGTGCCCTGATTTCCATCTCGTGTTCATCACTCGAGCTCAGAGGATGGATTTACAGCTTGAACTGTCTGATTCCTCAAAAAAACGTTCTTCTTCAGGCGTTTTCCCCAAATTTGAGACTTCGCTTGTGAAACCCTCTGCCCACAGGGGATTCCGCTGTGTGTAAATGCATTGCCAATGTGCACACTGAAATCTCTGTAATTAGTGCAACAAGGTTGTTTTTAAGCCTTCAGCTGATGGAACAGTGTATGATAGTGATAATTTTTGATATACAGATAGTGTCATTGTCCACTGTCAATACAGAGTTCATTTGTGTAAAGGAAAGATATTCTTTCTTGAAAGGAAAGGAAAAGAGGAGATGATTCAGATCAAAGTTGGTATGAGGCTCAGTACATAAATATTCTATAACATGTAATTGTAGAACTACCAATTATATGACATATGATACAGCTTATTGCTGGCTTTACAGAAAAATTATGGCTCATGAGATAATCTTGAGCAGCACTTCAGGGTTGCCTTACTGTTTGGGAAGCTTAGTGATGACAGATACCTGAATCTGTCGCAATACTAAATCAAAAGCTCTTGTGGTATGGCTAAGCTTCATGATAAATGGGATCAGCTCGATTCAGGGACTGCATTTGGGACTGTCTTCCTTTGCTTCCTATTTGCATTGGGCCTGATGGATCCGACCTGGTGATCTTGGTCTCATGGTGAAAGCCGTGGCACAAGCTTGTGCTGGAGCACCTCCAGCTCCCCGTAGCCTCAGGAGAAGGTTGCCAGCCTCTTCTTTCATCAACTTGCCTCCTAGGTCCTCTACATCACAGTAGACCCCAGGGTGCAGGGAAATCAGTGGGACAGAGGGAGGAGTCCTGAAATTTGGCTGCAAATGTAGCATGACCTCTATTACCACTGCACAAGCAGAGAGGCTCTGTAGTTACCACCACCTCTCTTCTGTGCAGAGGGATCTACACATTAAAAAAAAAATAAAAAAAAAAAAAGCAATGCAGAGCAATGCACAAAGCATGTCTTCATCAGCAGTAGTGAGTCTTGACAACTGTGGCAATGTTCCCACAAAGGCTTTGCAAATATTTATTAATTGTTTCAGTGTATGAGAAAAGTATAAACAAAGAGTATTGATTATTTCAGTCTTCTAAGCTCATTATATCTGTGGATACTGCAAATGCTTTTAAGCACAGGAGATTATTCAGGGCAAAGCTCCTTCTGCAATGCATTTGAAGATTACGGGAACATTATTGATATACTCACACACGCTCAGTGGTGCTCCATACGGGCTTATAAAGCCAAGTGGTATCTGCCTTACTTGATCACTCAGAAAGTTGCTGACCTCCTAAACAGAGTTGTTTTGCTAAAGCTGTTTTGCTGATTCCTATGACATATGGGCTTTCCTGATGTGGGAGGTCTGCTTTGGCTGATGGTGGGGCATGAAAACTACGGTCACAAGAAGTTGGGCTGTAATTATATCATATGTACGCGGAGCCCTGCGCTCTGCAGAGAGGAATGTCAAACCACTTCAGTGTTTATCAGTTCCCTATCTACGGGTGAGCTAGGAGAGCTGCTCTTCTTATCTTACCAAGCCCATGTTTCTGGAGCTGAAGGTCACAAATTCCAAAAAGCTAGATCACAACTTGGTGCGAGCTTGTGTTTGTGTCTGTGGCCTCTTACCAATGGCATCTCATGTTTGAACTGAATTCCTGTCAGCATATATTTGCTGCCTCAACGTGAAAAACATTTTCACCTCACTCAGAAAACTACCGTGACTGAAGCATTACACAGTAACTTGCTGCTGCGCAGTTCCAGTGCTTTCTACATACATGCAGTAAATGAGAGGTCCACTTAACAACTGTCATATACCGCGTTTATTATGGACTGCAGCTGTTGACAGTTATGCAACTGGGATGAAATGCATCCCCATAAAAAGCACTCGTATGAGGCCTGTGCCACCACATAGATTCTGCCTGAACCCTCAAAATAGACCTCAGGTAGGCCCAGCAGCAGCCAGGGGTCTAAGTGGATGACAGCAATCTGAGGCACTTTGGCTGCTCTCTATAATATTTTTAATGCATAATCCATCTACCCCAAGTAATTTCACTTCCCCATTTCTGGTGCTGTCTAGGCACTTTGACTGGAAAACAGCAAGCACAGCATGTCTCTCGATTTGCTCTTTTCCTGCAGAGAAATTTAGGAAATCACATAAAAACAAAACAAAACAAACAAAAAAAAAACCACCTATCTTACAGCTTGTTTACACCAAATATTAATGTTGCACCATGATATGGTCTCCTATTCAAATTTACACTTTCTTTTCCTGTAGCTTTGAAGAATCTATCACACACTTTCCTCATGTGGTGTATGTAGTAAGCTGCAGAATTACTTCAATTCCCACTGGCTTCAGCAAGTTGCAGGACTTCTTTTTTTTCATTTGAGCTGAGGTTTTGGCAGGGGCTTTGGGGAAACAGCAGTACAGATGTATGGTCATGTAAGAGCAGATTTATGATTGCACATGAACTCTTTAGTATTTCAACCACATAATGTTCCTTTACATTTAGGCCTTTTACAGAGTGTTACGGAGAATAAATCCATATACTTGCAAGCACATCTCTTTCAGCCACTTATGCAAATACGAAGCTGGCACAAGTCAACATCTGCTGCTGTTACAAATGGGCCTGTGTGCATACTGTTTGCTATGCACATATTCAGTGCAGTCCCCAGTCCTGCAGGACACGCTGTGCTCCCCCCAAATCACTCAGCTTATACCAGTAGAAGTCTGCCCATCTGGAGAAACGGGTCAGAGCAATGTATATCTGTGTGCCATACTAAATCTTTAATTAAGTTTGGAAAGGTCAAAAAGATTTAACAACATTCCTGAACTCAATAAAGCCTACCTGTGGCACCTACCTGTTTTATCTTTAAGCATTGCATGAGTTTTTTCCAAAAACATTACTGTTCTAAGGACTTCTAAATCAGAGGCCACATAGCTATTGATTATTGTCTGCATGCTTGTAGCGACAAGGATCAGCTCTTTGCTGATCTGGACAAACACGAGCAGTGTGAGAACAGGCATGGGAAAACTTGGCAGTTAATTATGGCAAGAGGCTGATCTGGATGCAAAACAGACATGGTTTTATAGCATGTTTTCTCTCTACCAGATCTCCATAACACTATAATGAGCACTGCTGTCATAGTAAATTCCTGCTGTGAGTCAGAAAGGGGGTGAAGTGGAAGAGCCTCCAACACGACCCCCAGTCCTGTTTGCCAGGAGGTGCAGTGAGTACAAGGCCCCAGGACTCTGCCCATGGCTTTTCGTCCTAACGCCCCTTCTGTCCCCTGGGGAGAAAGTGAACAAAACTGGGTTTAAGTTTTGTTCCTGACAAGTCCTGGAGTTAGAGCTATAAAATAAAATAAAATAAAATAAAATAAAATAAAATAAAATAAAATAAAATAAAATAAAATAAAATAAAATAAAATAAAATAAAATAAAATAAAATAAAATAAAAAAGTGGGATACGGACACTACATTCTGATTACAACCCTGTTAAATTCCCTGCATCTTTACATCTTTACTTTTCATTTTTGATTTTTATTCTTCTTTGTCTCTGCTTGAGTAATAACATCACCTGCTTGTCTTATACTAAACACATCTTGCTTACTTGCCAGCAATGTCGTTTTGTGAATGGTATATCTTGACTGCTACAGAAAAATGTTAGAGGAAAATCATCATTGCCCATATCAATAGACTCTTACATTGATTCGTTCATGCTTTCATGCTCTGTTTTTATTAAATGTTTAAGTTGCTGTGTTCTTATTAAATATTACAGGATGTTGCAACAGATGGAAATAGGCCATTGCAACAACTTTCACATTACTAGTCAGTAGCAGTTCCCATTTCATAAACCTGCTTTATGGGAGCCTGTAATTATACATTCATAATAAAATATGAACTATATACAGTTTGTACATTTATTTTCAGTATTCAGCCAGAAAATTTTAGAGTAGAAGCCAAATCATTTTCAAAGGGAAGAAAAGTATATCATGTGCCACATTGAACCAAGATACTCTGTTACACTGAAAAACTGCACACCAAGAACAGAACAATCTCTTCTCACAAGTAAACCTTTATTGAACAAAACATCATGGGGCAAATTTTGTACTTTTGCATTGAAGAGCCTGATTGCACCATAGAGTTGGAGACATATAACTACTGGCTGACATAAAAGTGATCAAGGTCATAAAATACAGCTGAGGTTATGCTACTTCTCCTCACCTTATCATATGAAGGGATTTCAAACCACTTTTAACCTTTGGTTAGCTCCCAGATAGGCTTTTATCAAATCTGTTCAGGCGTGCAACAAATTAGACTTTAGCTTATTATCACTATTCCTCTATCTGGCTTTGCTCAATTAGGTGTGTTGGGCATTTTTCAAATGGCATTAGGTACCTCATTTTTTTACTACAGTAAACTCACAAACAGCTGTGCCAGGAAGAGAGGAAATACAATATTGCTTCTGACAGGACTGCAGCGATACACTTTGTCCCACTGAGCACAGAGAAGGAACACTGTGAGTATTGGGAAAGGCACACAGAGCCGCTTGGTTCCTGGAAGAGTCTTGGTACTGTGGAGCAAAAGTTTTGGGCTCACCTCCAAAAAAAAAAAAAAAAAAAAAAAATGATCTTGCTCCCTTGAAGTATGTAGTTGTCCAAAATTTTGACAGCTTTAGTTTCTTGGTTTTGTTTTTGTATTTTTGTGGCGTTACCTATCCTCTCTCACTATCAAAGATGTTTGCAGAAAGAGTGCTCTGACTTCCTGCCTATTTGATCACAACACTTTATTACTTCTAATTTGCTGTAAGTGGGAGGCCAAGGATTAGCACAGAACTAAGCGTTGCAAACTCAGATCTTCCTGCTATCTGACTGCAGTATTACAAACCATCTACATCCAGCTCCAGTTTACTGTGTTTGAACAGAGAGTTTACCCTCATGGCAAAGCTCACATTCTGTCTTTTTACAACAGGTTAAAATATGAGGGGCAGAACACCTTGGCTACACACAAGTGGTTGCCCTGAACAAAGGGTTGCCTCCTTCCACGTTTTTATGCCTGGCTCCAACCCCCTCTTTTATCAGTTTGTGGCTAATCCTGCACGCCTGGCCTCGCCACACTCCTGCTGTCCGCCCAAGCTCAGGACACCCCTCTGTCACCGTAGCAGAGTCTGAAATCTTTCTCTTGCTCTCCAGAGGGGAGTGAGCTGAGGTGCCGCTCTCATTTCACACCCCTGGCAAAGCATGACCTTTTGATGGGATCATGAGTACCCTGTCATGCACTGCCTCCGACACTCAGTGCTGGAATTGTGTGGCTGATCAAGCAAGCAACAGCTTTACTTCTTACCATGCTGGATGACCTCAGATTTGTGAACAAGGTGATGGCCCACTGGGTGAAGTAGGGGTTTTGCTTCACTCAACATCTACCTTGGTAGATGAGATGGGAAGGGGAGACACAGAGCCCCTTCCCACACACAGTAATGCTCCTCGGCCTCCTGAAACTTCTCACTGATCCTTCCCAACCTCCTGTCCTCATTTTGGGAAACCGTGCCACCCCTCCCACTGAAACAAATGTTGCTCCTCCTGAGGATGAAGATAGTGTCTACAGCCAAGTCCCGAGCTGCTGGTTTGCGCCATTTTGATCCTACTACAGCAGCTTCCCAGTTCCCTTTTCCCAGGTAGGCCCTTGTTACTAAAACACAGCTTGTCAGACACTCTCCGAGAATACTTTTTCCTCAGAAAAATATTGATTCACATTAAATATATTCCTTAATTCTAAAATAGAGCTTCTGAACAATGTACAGGCATAACAAAAAGGTAAAAATACCCAGGAAAAAGTAGCTAAGCAGTTCAGGTACTCACTCAGAAAGCAGAGGCAGACTCAAGTTCTCCTCCGTGTCAGAAAATGCAGGGATCAAAACTCACCCTTCCCACCCTAGCAGGAAGTGAGTTAACCACAGGTTACGCCATACTTTGCTGTTCGCAACCTTCTCTCTGTTTTTCATGACTTTTTCGGTTGGGTCACCGATTCCTCCCCCTTACAAGGGAAACAGCCAGCTTCCAGAGGAACAGGAATACTTAGAGGAAGGCTTCAAGCAATCTAAAAACATTGGGAGGAAGAAGCATTAAAAAATCGACATTTGACTTTTTAAAGAGAACACTATTACGCACTGCCTTTGTATAAAGAAAAAGTAAAACAGTACCCTCTAAAAATTAAAGCTTTTTGATGTTCCAACACTAAAAGTTGTATCTTTTCTCAGGACAAAAACAATCAAACAAACAAACAAAATAAGAGTGGAGCACTATGAAATTTTCAATGCCTGTGATGAAACACCTTAATGATATCTGAGGCCCACACCAATGGCCTCAGCATGAACCTCGGCAGAGTGCCTTTTTCCTACAGTGTTCGTGTGACAGATAATGAATGACAGGAATGTCTGCGACCGCCTGCCTGCCCCAGTGATTGTTCTGGAACAGGCTTCAGTCCTCAGCAAATGAAGCAAACAAATCAAAATTATGCCGTAGTAGTTACACCATACAATGAATCTATGAAAATAAGTATTCCGTTCCTGAAATACCAAACGCTTTACTAAAGATGTGAATCTCAAAAACCACAACGAGCTGTCTGTGAAAGCCCACAGTAGATACAAACAACATACAGTAGAGCACAGGACTATATTTCAGAGAAAATGGTGAAATAAATTAATTTAAAATTTGATGTAATAGTCTCCAGGAGAGGAAGATGACTCAATAAGCAGAAAATATTTGTTTTGGGGTCAAATGTAGCTCTTCCACTCGGTCATGAGTTTTCTGTGAGTGGTTTAGTTCATGTCTTTTGCAAACTGTGGCTTGCTAATGACTTGTGACTATCCAGGTATTATCAATAATTAATATTTGAGTTGTGTGGCTTGTCAAGTGAGCAACAGTTTTAGTTCTTACCATGTTGGATGACCTAAATTTTGTGGATAGGGTGATGGCCTAATCAGTGAACTGAGATACTGATGCCCTCAAGGACACAGGGGCAGGTGGAGGGATAGAAATAGAAGACAATATATGGTGATTTTTTGGAAATTCACATTTTTTATTTAAATGCAAGTAGAACATTAAATCTATTCACCTATAATACGGAAATATCTTTTTCCTGTGCTTTGAGTTCTTTAACTGAAAAATGTGTTTGTGCCTGGAAGAAGCAGGGAAAGTGTGGTATTTCTGGTACATTACTGAGGAGCTGTAGAAGGAACAAAGACTTGTAACACTCAAGCTACACTGAAAAAATGTCAGAGGCATCACTTTGTGGCAAGGAGAAGAAGGATAGAGTTGTAATCTTAGTGAATCTGAGTTCCTCAGTTTTGATCTGAATTTTGCAGTGTTAGCAAGAATGAGTCCATAGTTATCTTGAACTGTTCCCCTCACTGTCCATCATACTTCATTTTTCATTGCTGAGAACTCTGATTGTTCTCCAGAAGTGCTGAAAGTGATGCGAGAGTAAACAAACAATCTCTCTAAATTGTGATCTGATCAAAGTTACATGAAATTGTCTCATCCTCCTGTTCTTTATAGATTTAGCTCAGGACATCCTGAAAAAGCAGCTGTGACTCCACTGCCCTCCTGCTGCACTGTTTCTCTAACATGTTTGCACGTTGTCTCGGACACTGCGTAACCTCGGGGCTAGGCATTTCTCTTCCCCTGATGGTGTCACTACACATGCTATAGCCTGTCAGTTTGAATCTGATTTTTCCTTTCTAGTTTGAGGGGTACAGAAACATTTGGAAGATGTAATTCAAACTCAGGCCATATGATACAGTCCACTCACTTAGCTGAGAACATCTGCTTTGCTCCACTGCTGTGCACTCCTGACTAGGTAATAATTCTAGACAGAAAAGGTCAGACTGAGCCTGAAAGAGTTCAGACCTATGGAAAAGAATCTTCTGATGAAGCCTGAGTCCAGTGGAAACTCTTAACATTAAAGTAAAATAATGAAGCTCTTGCAAAGAAAAAATGCATGTTTCCCTGTTTGAAAAGGCAAAAACTAAGCATACCTTCCTTCTCCACATTTCAGCATATTTAAATGTTATAGAGATGTTAGATGTTATGGTAAAGAGTAGAGGTTGATAAAGTAAAAATAATGGTAGCAACACATTTCTATGTCCTTAGAGGCAGGCTGTGGGAATCTCAGGCCAAAGCACTGCAGGTTTTGTAAGTAAATACAGAAAGACCATGTCTCTCCTTTTCGCTCTGCCCGAACAAGACTGTTCTGGCTTCAGTGCAAAGTGTTTGACTCTGGATCTCAAGTCTTTTTATCTAATTTGTAAATTCAGTAGTCTACCTATTCCTGCTATTGATAAAGGCTAAGGATCTTAAAAATTCTCGAAAAGACTTGACTGAAATTAAAATAACTTAATGACTGAAAAATAATAACTAAATAATAACTGGAAAAAAATATATATCTGTTCAGGACTGTCATTTACCTCCAAGAGCATGGTTACTTTTCTGACTCACATGCTAAGGTTTCATTTCACCTAACTTTACACATCACAAGCATGGCTATGTACTTCTGTGCTACTTGTCTAGACTCTTTTTATAGTCAATGGAGATAAACAAGCTCTTCAAGAAGGCAATTCACCCAATCACCTTAACCATCTGTCTTTGGAAGAGATGAAATGCGTCCTAGTTGGTTATATCTCACCACGGACTATAAAGAAGTGTAGATGAGTAGCTCATATGCAAACGACCACGCTGTAGATGACTACAGTGAGATGCACCCCAGCCTAGATGACTTGCACTGCTAGTTGGCTTAATGTAGTAGGACTCCTCTTTGGCTGATGCTTTAGGCAATTGGCGGGACTATCCCTGAAACTGTCCTTACTCCAGTAGAAAGTATTGGGGATGTGCAAGGCATACATTTCTTATTCTTCTAGTGAGTTAAAAGAGGCGTAAACATGTCTGTCTCAAGAGCTATTGTTTAGCATTTCTGAAGGAGGGGCCCCTAAATCTGCAGATAAGATAATTCATGGTGGTGGTTTCTCTGCAAAGCAGCAGGTTCCAAACAAAGTGAATTTAGGTCCTATTGTGTGACCCTGTAGTCTGAGAACATGTTAGAGAGGCATCTTGTAGCTGTTGTCTCTATTTTGTGGTGGTAGGTCCTCTTCTGTGATGTCTTATGCTGTCGCTGAAACCACCATCCTGAAATGTTTTCTTAATTGCTGTCTCTTAGCCTTTAGCTGCTCCCCCAGTTCCCTACATTGCAATAAATTTATTTTGGGGGGAGAAGTTCAAAATGTCTTCCACCTTGTGTATTTGGAGGACAAACCACAGCCAACCAAAACAGTTTGGGTGATGCGTTCTTGACTATGCACAACAGAGTTTGGTCTCTTATATGACCATGCATTGCAATTTATCCTGAAAACACGGTCATCTCTATAGTAATTCATATTTCTATTACAGGTTTAAAACAAACTTGTCTGAACTGTTAAGTTTCCATGGTGTGGAACCTGTAAAATGCTTCCTGATTTTTATATAAAAAATTCCACTGATTTTCAGCACACTAGGATAGATGCAAAGGTATCATCCTTATGGGGGGAAAATCTTGCTGATTCATTTTTACCAGTATAGACCTGAGGAAGTTTCTGCATGGCTGGCCAACCAGCTCACCTGCTCCTTCTTTCTTGCTCAGTCTAGAGAGAAAAGGGAAATTCCCTTGCATGAAGTAAGGCATTCAACTTATCCCATGGTCAAAAAAAAAAGGTCAAATGGACAAACATTTACCAGTGAATTTCCATTCCAGGAGTGTGAAGGAGAATTTTCTACAAAGATCACAAAGGAGATCTCAATGTATTACAAAAACTGTTTCTTTTTTTTTTTTTTTGTGCAAGTTCTGCAGTATACCCTTTTCTGTGTTTGCCTGCATCAATATTGAAAGGAAAAACACAAAAAAGACAAGAGGTAGTTTAATGACCAGTAAACAACTCTGAAGTGTTTGGACATCAAGTTATCTCATTTAATTATGACTATTTTGTATTGCTCTTTAGTAAATCTCTTTTCCAATAATACATCTAACTACAAACTGAAAGAAAGAAATACTAAATAATGTAATCCATGGACTGCCAGAAGAATTCTTTAAGTTAATCTACCTGGGAATATTTCTGAATCAGAAGGAGAAATATCTCAGATGAAAACAAATTTCAACATCTCTTTTTTTTTTTTTTTTTTTTTTTTTTTTTCAAGCTTAAAAGAATTGTTTGCACTGGTTCATTGTTGCATAAATACCTAAAAATGTCTTGGGATATAGCTTGACATGCAAAATGTATGTTTTTTAATTTGTGTTTTAAGTTTCTTGTGCCATGACAAAGTGCAAATTTTTTTTTCAAATGTATGGAAAGGGCACAGAAGAGTTTAGGCATCACTGTCAGGAGCCACAGCTGAATGAGGCTGCAATGTGAAACTACAGAGGAATAAATACATAGTTTTTCACATCACACAATACAAAGTCAAGAGCTGTAGCAAGCAGCATCTTTTTATGCAAGTCCAGAATTTCTAAGCTATTTGCATGAGAAATTAGTATCATTTATATTTTTAAAAACAAATCCATATGAATTTAATCTCCTCATCTATCAGCTCCTGTTTCCTTTGTCAAGAGGGTTTGGCAGGCAAACCAGAGGCAAATGGATTTACACATGACCTACTTTATGTGGTGAATTATATAAATAGTCTACTCCAAAATTTTGGAGAAGCCATTTAGAACGCTTTGGAAGGCACGCATAAAGGAACACAAAGTCAGTGGAGGAATGAAAGCATCTTTCACATGCTCGTAGGATGAAGGTAGCAATTGAGAAGAAACAAGTCAGAGAAGCCTGACGTCCAAGGCAGTTAGCCAGCCTGTGCCAAAAGCCCCATGACCGTGCGTGTGGCAGTCACACACCAGGGCACAGTGTCACCCTGCCGCTGGAAAAGCCTTTTGTTCAGTTTTGTACAACACAGCTCATCACCGTATCTGATCACAAAATGGATACTGCCTTGGAAGACAACAGCTATATGGGATTCATAAATAGTAACACATGCAACTGTGCAGGAGCT